GTTGCTGGGTGTAATAGGTATTACTTGTTTAAGTTAAAAATTGCTATATTGATTTTTTTATGGAAGAGAGACTTATACAAGATGTAAGCTTTAAAAATGACTAGCTTCTAAACTATTTTTTTATAAATAACTTACATATAAATTTATTAGAGATGCCATGAGGACTATTATTTGGTATTTGACCTAGTAGGCTAGTTTTTTTTTTTTACTTACTACCAAAAAGTACCTTAGTAGGCTAGTTTTTTTTTTTTACTTACTACCAAGGAAACGCATTTGATAATTTTGGTGTTTTTTGTGCAAAAAAAGCTTGATTATGATGGTGAATCACGAGCCAGCCCTTGGTGTTATGTTATGTACATCTAGAAACACAAAGTACACAAAAAGAGTTTTGTTTTACAACAGATGTTATTATGATGATAAAAAGTTTTCTTACAAAACACTATGCCCATTGGAAAAATGTGCTTGGCAGTTTGTGTACAAAACTAACTGTTGTGCACCTGCAATGCTTGGAAACACTTCTGGTTTTGCAGTATTGGTCAAGAAAGAGGTTCTGTCACAACAACTAGTTGCATCACAAATTTTGCCTACTTTTTTGAAAGGAGTTCTGCATGCATCAAAATAATTAAATTCATAAGAGCCTGAGTCCAAGCTCTGGCTTTTATGAAGTTATGAATTCACTGGCTTTTTAAGAAACTTTGTCGCACAATGGGATCTGACCATAAAGTACTGCTATATTAAACAGAAGTTTGCTGGTTATCAAAAGGACAAGTTTTAAAGGGCTCATTCGAGTTATGCGTAAAAGTCTTAATTTTTCTGAAAGATAAAGAAAGTACAAAATGTATCAAATTCTGTAGGCAAAAACTTTTTGCAAGGATTAAAAAAAGAACGGTTTTTCCAAAAAGATTTGATCAAAAGACTTGGGTGCGCAGCCCATTTAACATTGATATCAATGATATCAATGATGAAGATCTTATTTAAAAAATGCAAACTGAATTTCACGCAAAGGATGTTGGTGATTTTAAGTGTAGTTTAGGACAAGCTTACCCTCTCCTTGTTAAAGGAGCAGTGCCCATATAAATACCACTCACTCCAACATACCTTTGTGAGTCAAGTTTCTCAGCATAAGTGTCAGACATCAAAGGCGATATGTGCCTTACATTTTATAAGACAATTCCTCAATTTAGTTATATTGGAAATTCAATTAAGGCTTATTGAAAATAAACAGTAGAATAAACTATTTCATTAAACAACAGTCATGCACTAAATTTTACTTGATACAAATAAATAAAGATGTTTTTTATCAGCATCAGAAACACGCAGCTTGTTTGACTAATTTTGAAAATTATTTTTCAAATTAAAAACAGCTTTTAAGAGAAATTTAGGCCTTAAACGTATACAAACTAAATGTTTATAATATTTTATGCTTTATGTTTAAATGTAAAATCATTTATCTTCTAATGTATTTATAAACATAATATAAAACCTATAAACAAATACAATCTTCATAATCGAAAAAATCTCTAAGAACATTTTGGCCAAACTAAATTTAAACAGTTATTTATTTCTTATAGCGGTTCTTTTTTATGGAATAAAATAGTTTTGCGTAATTTTGATTTGTCTTTGAAATGGACTTTTACTTCTTTAAATGGAAATTTAAAAAAATTATCTTTCAACAGAAAACATTTTTTCTTGTTTTTAGTTTTTTTGTTTCATTTATTATATATCCAGTTCATTTATATTTTATATGCACAGTTGTAAATAGTTTATGTTGATTTATTGGTTTACTTTTTTTTTTATTACACTTGATATTGTAAAGGGCTTCATGATAAGATCATATGATTCTGAAAGTCCTGCTAATTATATTTGTAATAAAGCATTAGCATCAATAAAAACTAAAAATCATAACCGGCTAGAAATAAAGTTTTTTTCAATGCTTTATTTTCTGTCCCTATACATTTATAATTATGTTTAGAAAAGGGGTCCACCAGATTGGTAAAATTATGAATGTGGTCTGTGACTACAAAAAGGTTAAAAACTACTTATTTGGAGGTTTAAAATTGTTTCTTTCAATGTTTAGACTGCTTTATTTTACAGGATTTAAGTTAAACCAAAAGGTACTCAAGAGCAAATAAATAAATTAAATACTTTGGGTGTGCATTAAAAACAAAGTAAAACCTTTTTATCTTGCATTTTTTAATTAAAAAAAATTTGTTGAAAAAAAAAACTTTGAAATAAAACATAATAGAGACTTATCTAAAAAATTATGGAAAAATTATAACCTTATCTAAGATTTTTTTAGAACCCAAAAAGGTTTCTGATTAAAAGCCTTTTAAAAAGTAATTTACTAATTCTAAAATCAAAATTGAAAAAATCTGCTTAACTTTTAATTTTAAAATTAAAACATTTTTAAAAATAAAAAAATTGTGTTGAAATAAAGAAAGGCAAAAGTTCCGTACAGAAAACTGAAAGTTTGTTTTTGCTGCGTAATTGAAAATAAATATTTGCTGTGTAATTTGTGACATAAAATGTCACAAATTAAAGAAAAACTTTGCTAAACAAGAACACATTGACATTAAGTAGTAAATAAAATTAAATATATTCATCTAAATTAAAGATTATTTACTAAAAATATTATTATTAAAAACTGAATTAATTTTATCGTTTTGGTTTTTACCTTTTGTTGTTGAGCAACTTTATTTCGAATCTCATTTTTTGATGATTTGCATTTTTTCAGTTTGTACTGTAGAGCTTTGCATTTATCTTCTAACTCACTAATAAAAGAGACCAATGATTCAGGAAATTCATGAGTCAGAGAGACATTTGTATTCAAAAAAAAGTTTGATCATTATGAATTCGAAACAAAAAATATAAAAATGTAAAATTAAATTAAATAAAATTGTTACGAAATCATTGTCAGAAACTCTTGCTCTTTTGCTAATGCTTGCATTTTATACAATCTTAATAATAATAATAAAAAAAAAATTTAACAATTATTAATTCAATAATTCTTAGAGTAAAGTAAATTTTTTTAAGATCATATATATATATATATATATATATATATATATATATATATATATATATATATAAGATCATATATATATATATATATATATATATATATATATATATATATATATATATATATATATATATATATATATATATATATATATATATATATATATATATATATGAATATATGAATATATGAATATATGAATATATGTATGTATGTATGTATGTATGTATGTATGTATGTATGTATGTATGTATGTATGTATGTATGTATGTATGTATGTATGTATGTATGTATGTATGTATGTATCTGTGTATATATGTATGTATGTATGTATGTGTATATATATATATATATATGAATATATGTATGTATGTATGTATCTATGTATATATGTATGTATGTATGTGTATATATATATATATATATACATATATATATATATATATATATATATATATATATATATATATATATATATATAAATTTTATAAATAATTAATACTTGTGTTCTTCGCAAGCCACATTCAAAGTATTCTTTGTTTCTTTTATTGAGTGTTCTGTTAAGGCAATCTGCTCTCTCTAAATTTTACACAAAAAATGAGCAAAAATATATAAAAACAAATAAAAAAAGGTAAAACTATATAGGGGAAGTGGGGGCATAATGGCATATGAAGACACAACCGTTTTTTAACATTTCTCTTTGAAATATGTTGACTAATATGGTAAAAAACATATAACGCGTTGGTAAAACAGTTTCTTTCATTTCGCTTATGTCAAAAAAAGTGCCTGATGCATTTCTGAGAAGTTGTGCATAATAATGTTTATTTTGATAAAAATATTATTTTTACATCATATTTTTCCAGACCTTTCTTTCGAGGACTGAGCAATATTTGATTTTAGTGTTAAAGATATGTGTTATCAGCGTTATTTCATCAAGTGAAAACTATTTTTGATATCAACATAATCTAATAAGCAAGCTATGAAACTGAATTCTTTCTAATAACTCTTTTCTGGGGCAAAACTCTCTTCTTGAGTAAAACTCAAAATGTAAATACAAAGAATGCCTGCACAGTATGTAAACATGCAATAAAATCATCAAATAATCTGAGCTGTGAAAATTGTAAAGAAAATGTACCATGAAAGGTATACCCCCAACGATTTTTGTGAGGGTGCAGTTTTATCTCATAATGGCGGGCAAAACCATTTTTTTCACTAAATGTACTTTTTGTGTAATAAAATTTTCAAAACCCATTATAGTTTTTTCCTATTTGCAACAATTTAAAGCTTAATAATGTGGTTATTGAAATAAACTGTTGAAAAAACACATTTTGTTTTTATTTTCATATAACATCAATCTAAGCATTACAGGGGCAGCTATGCTCCCACTTCCCCTATATATATTTATGTATATATATATATATATATATATATATATATATATATATATATATATATATATATATATATATATATATATATATATATACATAATTATGTATATATATATATATATATATATTTATGTATATATATATATATATATATATATTTATGTATATATATATATATATATATATATACATATATATATATATATATATATATATATATATAGTATATATATATATATATATATATATATATATATATTTATGTATATATATATATATATATATATATATATATATATATATATATATATATATATATATATATATATATATATTTATATATATATATATATATATATATATATATATATATACGTATATATATATATATATATATACGTATATATATATTTGCTAGAATTTTTATACTAGCATCTTCAGCCTTAATTACAAACTACTAATTATATTTAATTACAAACTGTAACTTCACGTTTTTAAAGGCTTTTTTTTTTTAAAAAAAAGTTAGTTTTGAGAGAATTCGTATTCATTGATATTCATATATTAAAAAATATATATATACATATATATACATATATATGCATATATATACATATTCATATATATATATATATACATGTATATATATTTATATATATATATATTTATATATATATATATATATATATTTATATATATATTTATATATATATATATATATATTTATATATATATATATATATATATATATATATTTTATTATATTAACATCAATGAATACTAAAAAAAAGCCATTTAAAAGTGAATTTACTGTTTGTTTGTAATATAATAATATAATATAATTAATGGTTGGTAATTAAAGCTGAAGATGCTAGTATAAAAATTCTCTTTTTGTTGTCATTGTTTTAAATTCAATTCAAAACAATGAAAACAAAAAAAACCAAACTAAAACTAAGATTCTGGGCTAACAACACGCGTTCTTTTAACAGCAATAAAAAAGATGAAGTTGTAATCAAAAAATAAAACAATAAAAAAAAAGCTCCTGACCTACAATTTTATACAGAAACTTGGTTCACTGACATATCAGATACATAACTCACTGGCTACCAACTATACTGTAGAATCGTTTAAGTCAAAAACAAATTATATAAAAAAGTTATTGCCACAGCTGATACTAATATCAAACAACTTAACTCCAAAGAAATTTAGCAAGTATAACGTATCATAAAATGCAGTTTCAATTCAATTCACATAATTAAGAAAAATATACACAATGACACATCATTAAGAAAAATAATCAAATTCATCACAGCTGCAAAACAAAATCTTTTCTCACTTGGTTGTGCTTCAATGTTTATGGAGATGTTTATGAAATTTATGGAGATTTCAATTTGAGCCACTCTAAATACAAAGAAACAGACATAGGTGGAGGATTTGTAACAGCAACCATTAATGAAAACAATTATCAAACAGACAAGAAATATGACTTCTGTTTAGAGGAATCGCATTTAAATCAAGTTGTCACATTTCCTACATTTAGAAAGACAAGAACTTGAAGCAAGAAATACCTTAACTAAAAGTGTTCACAAAGGTAACACTATTGATGTAATTTACACTGACTCAAGTAAAACCTTTGATAAGGTATCACACCGCCGACTCCAGTTAAACTCAAAATATAAAGCATTGGGGGTCATTAATCCTCTTTATCTACAATCTCCCTGATAATATCAATTGTAAAATTATGAGTGTTATCAAATTGAGTGAAGATGCTGTTTTCTTGCAAAATGACATAAACAAAGTAGTAGATTAGTCAAAAAAATGGTTCATGCTATTCAACACAGACAAGTGTAAAGTGATGGATGTAGGCAAAAAAGAAAACAAATCCGCACACAACTACACAATATAAAAAGTAGATAATGGACATCATCAGCTACAAGTCACTACCACTGAACATGACCTTGGTGAACTTGTTTCAGACAATCTCAAAGTCAAACAACAGGTTGATTTGGCAGCGTCAAAAGCAAACATAATGCTTAAAAAACTCAAAAAGTTGTTTAGAAGCAGAGGTATGCTGCATTTTGAAAGTGCTCTAAACTACTTATGTTAGACCACACTTAGAATTTGCTCCAAGTGTGGTCACCTTATTTTAAATGTGATATAAAAAGACTCTAACAAAACCAGTGCAGAGCAACCTAAATAATTACTGAGCTCAAACATTTTTCTTACAGAGAAAGACTCAACATTCTTGAAATAACCACTCTGAAAACCTGATGGAAACATAGAATTCTTAACAACAGTATAAAATAATACATAGTTTCAAAAAAGTTGACTTCTTCATTCCACAATAAACTGCACCTGCTACTTCACACTATGATCTACAGGGCTACAACTTTTTCCTGTAAAAACAGAATGTGTTGAACTGTGCTGAACGATTGCATAATTTCACAAACTGTGTTGTAATTGATTGGAATGCTTTACTTACAAATGCATTGTCAACAAATACTTTCAAGAACTTTCTCATCAGAAAAGCAACAACATAAATAGTCAACCGGATGCACTAAGTATCTTCAGCATAGAAGTGCCTGGTGCAGCACTTCTTCATTAATTTCACGACTAAAATAATTTTATTACTTCAAAAATTTTGTTTTTTAAACATTGTGACACACTTGACATTATGTAGTTAAAGAAATTAATTACTAAATAAAGAAAAATAAATTAAAAGGCTTTGTCAGTTGCTTTTTTTGTAAAAACAAATCTCTTACATTTAACACATTTTAATTAGCTTTTACATTTTTAACACATTTTAATTTGCTTTTAAGTGATATTTGTTAAAAGAATTTTCATTTTTTTCTTTAGTACCATTTTATCAATATTGTCTTAAAAGTTCTTAAATTTATTAAATTATTTATCAAATAATTTTAGTTATTGTAATTCAATTATTTTACACAAAGTTTCTAATACAGTAGAATGAGTTCTGGTGTATTTAACAAAAGTAGATGTACATAAAAAGCAATAAAAAACGAATCAGCTATATCAAATTATGAGATAAGGAACTTATTTTTGTGTCTACACTAGGAGATTATCTTTTGTTTAGTCAACTGTTTTCTTTGTAGAACAATATTTTGAATTTCTCATTTAAACAAACTTTACAAATTTTTGATATAGGATTGTATGGTTTACAATGTTTTCTTGCATCTACCCATATATATTGGCATATTCAAAAACACCTTTTAAAACACTTTTTAAAATATGGTACATGAATCATTTAAAATTAATTAACACAATTAAGAAAAAATAAAAGGACAATAAAATTAAAAAAAGAAAAAAAAATTTTTTTCTTATAAAATGCAATAAAATATAAGTCACAGAGAGTCTAATTTTTTTTATATATGAACTATGTTCTTCAAATATTTCCTTAAAAAAAAAATTTATTATTAAATAGAACAAATGAAAAGCTAATTTAAGATTTAAAATGATAAATTAAGTTGATTAAAGTTAATCATTTGTTTCAAAAAAGTTAAAAAAAATAAGTTAAAAATGTTTGTATTCTTTCTTAACCTGAAGTACAAATATTTGTATTTGTATGCATGCCACCTACCTAAGAAAGAAAGTCAGGCCAAGGGACTAAAATTGCAGATACAAAATAGGTCAATAAGATTGGTTGCCAAACAATTAAAAGTATGTTCATGGCATTAAAAATTGAGCAATCATACTGTAATTCTGACCTCATTGCTTGACTAATTATAGTTTTTTGATGTTTTGATGTTTATATTGATAGTCCATATAAGATATATCTTTCATAAACCAAAGATGTTTGTATAAACAACTCTTGAAAGTATGATGACAATATGCAATATTCTTCCAATAGTTCATACTGTCTTGCAGCTTTAACACCAGATAATATATGCAATAACATATGGTTTTGAAAAAACAGAAGTATTTTCATACAATAAAAATTTTATTAGCAAATGTAGCTATGCATCATCAATGTCACTGATTGTTAGCAAATGTAGCTATGCATCATCAATGTCACTGATTGTTAGCAAATGTAGCTATGCATCATCAATGTCACTAATTGTTAGCAAATGTAGCTATGCATCATCAATGTCACTGATTGTTCAAATCCACAAGAGTTTGAATACGTTCTTACAACACATTGAACATATCCAATAACTTTACTATTGTTGCTAG